CTTTTTTTTTTTCTTTTTTGAGACGGAGTCTCCCTCTGTCACACAGGCTGGAGTGCAGTGGTGCGATCTTGGCTCACTGCAACCTCTGCCTCCGGGGTTCAAACAATTCTCCTGGCACAGCCTCCCAAGTAGCTGGGATCACAGGGGCCCGCCACCATGCCTGGGTAAGTTTTTTGGATTTTTAGTAGAGATGGGGTTTCACCATTTTGGCCAGGATGATCTTGAACTTCTGACCTCAGGTGATCCACCCGCCTTGGCCTCCCAAAGTACTGGGATTACAGGCATGAGTCACCGTGTCTGGCTGAAGATAGGTTTGAATAGGACTGAGGTTAAGGTCATGAGCAGAGTTGAGACTGGGGCTGAAATGGGGTTCAGAGCTGGGTTTAGGTCGGAATTTACTTCAATTTTAGGGCTGAGTATATATTGGACATCAATATAGAGGGGCAGATCAAGGTTGAGGATGAGGATTGAACCAGATTCTGGGGTTGAGTCCATATTGGGTGTTGGTATTGAGGGGAAGACATGGTTGCGCAGGGATTGAATCAAATTCTGAGGTTGAGTTTACATTGGGTGTTGTCACTGAGGGGAAGACATGGTTGGGTTAGGATTAGGCCAGATTCTGAGGTTGAGTTCACATTGGGGGTTGGCATTGAGAGGAAGACATTGTTGGGTTTGAACTGACTCCGATTCTGGGGTCAAGTTCACACTGGGTGCTGGTATTGAGGGGAAGACATGGTTGGGCAGGGATTGAATCAATTCTGAGGTTGGGTTTACATTGGGTGTTGTCACTGAGGAGAAGACATGGTTGGAGTTGGGATTGAGTCCAGTTCTGGGGCTGAGTTCACATTGAGTGTTGACACTGAGGGGAAGACATGGTTGGGTTAGGATTAGGCCAGATTCTGGGGTTGAGTTCACATTGGGGGTTGGCATTGAGAGGAAGACATTGTTGGGTTGGAATTGACTCCAATTCTGGGGTCAAGTTCATATTGGGTGCTGGTATTGAGGGGAAGACATGGTTGGGTTGAGATTTACTCAGATTCTGGGGGTGAGTACATATTGGGTGTTGGCATTGAGGGGAAGACATGGTTGGAGTTGGGACTGAGCCAAATTCTGGGGGTGAGTTCATATTGGGTGTTGGTATTGAGGGAAAGACATGGTTGGGTTGGGACTGGGCCAGATTCTGGGGTTGAGTTCACATTGAGTGTTGACACTGAGGGGAAGACATGGTTGGGTTGAGATTGTGCCAAATTCTGGGGTTAAGTTCACATTGAGTGTCAGTATTGAGAAGAAGATATAGTTGGGTTGGGGTTGACTCCAAATCTGGGGTTGGGTTAATATTGGGTGTTGGTATTGAGGGGAAGACATAGTTGGGTTGAGATTGAATAAGATTCTGAGGGTGAGTTCATATTGAGTGTTGGTATTGAAGGGATGACATGGTTGGATTAGGATTGACTCCAATTCTTGGAGTGAGTTCACATCGGGTATCGGTACTGAGGGAGGATCAGGGTTGGGTTTGAGGTTTGGATTGAGTCAGTGTGCTTCCACTGTCATTTGCTCCCACTATCCCTCCCATCAAGGATCCAGAGAAGGACTGAAAAGCTGGGGGCACTCACCGGGGGACCTGGGTGTCCTGCAGGACCCCGTATCCCTGGTTGTCCAGGTGGGCCCTGGGAGAACAGGAAACAGAATCAAAAAATTCCCTCAGGTTTAAGATTAGAGAGGGCACTGGAGCTATCAATCACTGCCTCCCAACCCACACCCCCTACCAGGCAGCAACAACTACATCCCCCCAAATCCTGTCTTCTCAGCCACCAACTGACGGGATCAGACAAACATCTGTCCTAAGCCAAGCCCTGGCCATCAGGACCTTTCCTCACAAGTTCCACCAAGACCCAGAGATGAAGCTGGCTCAATGATGCAAGACACTGGGGCTGACGTTCGCGGGGAACTTGGGTATCAGATGCCTCAGTGCCTGCCACGCAGAGTCACGGGCAGAGGGAAGGACATGTCACTTAGAATGGAGAAGGAGGTTACTCACACCCCAGTGCCTTTCCAGTTCTTTGGGAGCCCCAGCTATCTCTATCCTCTCTGCATTTGGGTTCTGTGGACCCATTGCTCCAGGCAGCTCAAGTACCTTCTGTTGCATGTGGGTATCAAGATGGTACCCTGGACGGTAGAAAACTCCAGGGCCTCTCCTACCCCGTGAGGAATGATCTCTACATCCCTGGCCTCCTCTCTCTTCTGCTACCCACCCCACCCCGCCTCACTGGGGATCTCCACTCACCGCATCTCCTTTATCGCCTTTACTCCCCTTGTGTCCAGGGGCACCCACATCTCCCTGCAGAAGAAATGGGATGAAGACCCAGCTTCCGTTCACCCCCATCCTCCCCTGGACCCTTCCTCTCTGTGAGCCCCTCACCTTGTCCCCTTCCTCGCCAGAAGGCCCAGCAGCTCCAAGGGGTCCCAGAGGCCCCAGGGGCCCTGGGATCCCATCTTTGCCGGTGGGGCCAGGGGGGCCACGTTCTCCCTGTTGTGGGAAATGGAAAGGGGGATGTCAGGGCAAGAATGTCCTGCAGGAGCCATGTCCTGGGATGTGGCAGGGCCAGACCCTGAGGAGGCCCTAAGAATGGGATGGGCAAGTCACTTACCGGGGACCCCTTCTCGCCTGCAGGGCCAACGGGGCCTTGGCTGCCACTTTGGCCAGGAAGTCCAATGCCTCCTGCTGGGCCCACAGGACCCCGCTCACCAGGGGATCCCTGAAAACAGGGTGGCGAATCAGGAATAATACCAGTAGTAGCTCTCCTTTATGGAGGATTTTTAAGCCACCCGGCACTGAGTTCTGTGGTTACCAGGATTATATCTAACCTGTTCCCTTCCTGCAGCGGCCAGAGGTGAGCACTTGAGGGGCTGGGCACATTCCTCCCCTGCTCAAGAACCATGGCTCCCATCTCACTTAGAACAAAAGCCAAAGTCCTCCCATATATATATATATATATATATTTGTAGAGACAGGGCCTGGCTATGTTGCCCAGGTTGGTCTCAAACTCCTGGGCTCAAGCGATCCTCCAGCCTCAGCCTCCCAAAGAGCTAGGATTACAGGCATGAGCCACCACACCTGGCCCAAGAAAAGGGGTTTTTATATGTTGGTGGCCAACACACAGGTAAGTATTTGTTGGATAAATGATCTCAATGAGGTTTGTGATCATACATGAGATGAGGCTTCTCATCATGGCTATTTTACAGACAAGGAAACTGAGGCTTGCCAAGGACTAAAACGGCCCAGCCAGTGAGCAACAGAACTGACCTTGGCTCACTGCAACCTCCACCTCCCAGGTTCAAGTGATTCTCCTGCCTCAGCCTCTAGAGTAGCTGGGATTACAGGCATTCACCGCCATGCCTGGCTAATTTTTGTATTTTTAGTAGAGACAAGGTTTCACCGTGTTGGCCAGGTTGATCTCGAACTCCTGGCCTCAAGTGATTCGCCTGCCTTGGCCTCCATCATGGGTTTTATCATGACAATGTCAAGCTTCCAAGACACCTTGAGTCCCCTCCACCCTGCCCCCACCCAGCACAAGTGGTTATACTTACACTGGCCCCCACAGGCCCTGGGGGGCCCTTATCACCCTTCAAGCCAGTAGGTCCCTGAAGTAGGAGATAATTCACAGTCAAGAGACTCCCAAGGGTGTCCCCAAGTCCTGTCTTCCTCTGTGGGGAGCTCACAGTCCCCACCTCTCTCCTGGGACTGGACACTGAGCTTTGAGGGGTCTGCCTTCTCCAGTTCCCTCCAGCATTTCTTTGCTTTCATCATTTCCCACATCCCAAATGCCATTCCCCCATCCCTCCCCTGACCCCCCCATCCTTTCCTTCTCTAAGGGACATGCAGGAGGGTCTCCAAAGATACTCACTGGGTCCCCAGGGCCTCCCTTGGGGCCGGGAAAGCCCCTGAGTCCAGCTGGCCCTTCCTTCCCAAGGGGTCCTGGTGGTCCCAGTTCCCCCTGCAGGAGTGCAGAGGAGGGAAGTCAAGCTCCAGGGAGGGGATATCTCCGTCCAGTCTGTGACTCAGCGCCCCTCCCCCATCAGATGCTTCTGAGCCTTTGGTTGATCTTGGATGTTCAACCAAGGTCTCTAACGGACAGGGTCTCACCTTCGCCCCCTCTCTGCCTTCCAGGCCAGGAAGACCTTGTTCGCCAGGAGGTCCAGGGGGGCCTGGAGGCCCCCTTTCACCCAGAGGTCCCACTTCTCCTGTCTTTCCCTGGTGAGGAAGAAGGTCCCTCTTGAGTTGGGGCGGCCTAGGGGAGTCGCTTAGGAGTCCAGCTTTCCCCTAAGTATCCCCCAACTGGTACAAAACGAGGGAGGTTTATGGAGTCCATTCTGACCTGAGGGCCTAAGACACCAGCTGGTCCAGGAGGGCCTGTCTGACCTTGGAAACCCTAGAGAGAAAAATTAAATGGGGGTGGGGGGTGTTACATGGGGGAAGGGATGGAGGACGGGGAGACAGGGAAGACCTGATAGAATCAGGAATCTGGCCACTGGTGCGGTGGCTCACGCCTGTAATCACAACACTTTGGGAGGCAGAGACAGGTGGGTCACTCGAAGCCAAGAGTTTGAGAGCAGCCTGGCCAATATGATGAAGCCCCGTCTCTACTAAAAATACAAAAATTAGCCAGGCGTGGTGGCGCGCGCCTGTAGTCCCGCTCAGGAGGCTGAGGCAGGAGAATTGCTTGAACCCGGGAGACAAAGGTTGCAGTGAGCCAAGATCGCCCCCACTGCACTCTAGCCTGGGTGACAGAGTGACACTGTGTCTCAAAAACAAAACAAAACACACACACACACACACACACACACACAAAGAAAAAAGGATCAGGAATCAAAGGTTGAGGGGTTACTCACCAATTCTCCTCTCTGTCCAGGGTGCCCTGGTCGCCCATCTTTACCTTGGTGACCCTGGGGATGAGGTGGGAAAGAGTTGGGGCACAGATACAGGGCCTCCTCCCTTCCCACATCCTCCACCCACCCAACCCCCAATGAGGGTGACCTCACTCACAGGGGGGCCCTTTGGCCCAGGGAATCCTGGGGGGCCTTGCAGACCAGGGAGGCCCTGAAATGGAACCGGAAGTCATTGTCTCATCCTTCCTGCCTCTCTGCCCACTCCCTGAGCCCCACATAATGACAATAGGATCCAGCACACATTGAGTGCTTACTGCATGCCAGGAATGGGCAGGGCATTCTCCACACAGTCAGTCATTTTATTCACCACTGCGGCTGGGAGACTGAGGTTACTCCCATTTTACAGAGGAGAAAACTAAGGTACAGAGAGGTTAAGTGACTTGCCCAAGGGCACACAGTAGGTGAGTGGCAGAGAACTCATGGCTCTCTGACTTCAGAGGCTGTGCTCCTTTTTTTCTTTTCTTAAAGATGGAGTCTTGCTCTGTCACCCAAGCTGGAGTGCAGTGGTGTGATTAGCTCACTGCAGCTTCCAACACCTGGGCTCAAGCAATCCTCTCATCTCAGCCTCCAGAGTAGGTGGGACTACAGGCGTGCACCACCACACCCAATTAAGCTGTGCTCTTACCACTGCATTATAATGTCTCTTCATCTCTTGGACTTGTCCTCCACTCAGAATCTCTCTCTCTCTCTGACACACATACACATGCACATTCACACACACACACACACACACTCACCTTTTCTCCAGGGATCCCGGGGGCCCCGTCCTGGCCCACATCGCCCTAGGACAGAGTGAATGAGACTCAGGCCCCAGAACAAACTCAACTGGGAAGAATTGGGAGGGACTGGCTGAGCCTGAGGCATGGGGGGCCTTGATTGCCCACCCATCCCATACCTTGGGGCCTGGTTGCCCTGTGGCACCCGGCTGCCCCCTCTCTCCACGGGACCCCTGAACAAAAAAAAAGGCAAAGATCAGATATGAGGGGTTGGGGGAGCCTGGGAGATGAGACCAAGTCTTCCAGGTCCCCTCCCCTTGTGACTCCCTCTCCAGGGACATTGATGTAACCCAAACCCTTTCCCTGCCCTCTGATGACCTCTTCACCACCTTTCCTTCCCAGCCCTGTCCCCAGGTCCCAGCAGGGTAGGGGGCACTCTCTATTTTCTTACTGGTGGTCCCCGCTCTCCTTCCAGGCCTGGCTGCCCTGCCTTTCCCTGAAAATAAATTGTAAGAGAGAAAGCAGAAGAGAATTAGGGTGCAAAGGCATGATGCAAACACAAAAAGGCACCCAGTCACAGACCCAGAAAGCTGTCTGCCATACATTTATTCACAAGCCTTTCAGTCATACACATACACACAAATACAACTTGTACTCAAAACCACACAAAGATCTCAAACACACAATTATAACTATGATTGCATCTACAGAGTCCAAACGTGCAAGCATGTTTGCCCACAGATCCATATATTTATCACAGTTGTGCAGTATGCATACATGATTGCATGCAATCATGGCATGCGTTTGGCAATCCACAGCCTGAAGATGACACAGAACTCATCATGTAATACATCTCTTGCACATATGTATACACACTGTAAACATATGCAGGCCCGGATTCATCTGAGGACTTTGTCCTGATAAACACAGCAGTATACATACACTCATGAATGTAAATACAATGTTCATTAACACTGTTACAATACACATGTAGCAACACAAATACAATACATGCCTGTATACACATCACTCAGTGTGCACAGAAACACACACATGTGTATACACATGTCCTTTCACACATGTGTACAAGCTTCTTGCACACATTTATGCCCACCATCATGCAAAGTGCATGCAGATTCATGCCCTTGTTCACCCAGGCACAGGCCTGCAGGCTGCAGCATTCAAACTCTGTCTTATCTATATTGAAAGATACATGAGGCCAGGTGCAGTGGCTCACGCCTGTAACCCCAGCACTCTGGGAGGCTGAGGCGGGTGGATCACGAAGTCAGGAGATGGAGACCATCCTGGCTAACACGGTGAAACCCCGTCTATACTAAAAAATACAAAAAGTTAGCCGGGCATGGTGGCGGGCGCCTGTAGTCCCAGCTACTCGGGAGGCTGAGGCAGGGAATCATTTGAACCTGGGAGGCTGAGATCGCACCACTGCACACCAGCCTGGGCGATAGAGCAAGACTCCATCTCAAAAAAAAAAAAAAAAAAAGAAAGAAAGTTACATGAAACACACATACACATACTTAAAGTCATATTCATGGTAATACCATGTGTAATCACCTACATGTGTCATGCATTGCATATAATAGCATGTGTGCACACAAGTGCTTCCAGGCATAGACACAGACACTCATGGTCCACCCATCATCAGACACAACCACACATGCTGTTCCCCTCAGACAAGTTCGCCCCTCTCCTTTACCCCCAGTCATGACTCACCGACTTCCCTTTCTCTCCTATGGGTCCCAGCGGCCCGGGAAATCCAATGGATCCCTGAGTGGAGAGAATTAGAAAGAAGACATGAAGGTGAGGAGTGAGTGGTGGGTGCAACTGGCCCCTCATACCATCCTTTGAGGCATTTCCAGGTCACTGATTCCAGAAGCTTCCTTAGTCTCTACAGCCCCAGCCTCCTATAAGGCAGCCCTCTTCTCTCCTCTCACTTCCTCTCCTCCCTTCTCGTTTCACTGCAGCAAAATTGACCTCCTCGATGTTCCTTGGGCACAGCAGTATATTCCTGCCTCAGGGCCTTTGCACTGGCTGCTCTCTTTGGCTGAAATTCTCGTCTCCTAGGTCTCCACAAAGTCAGCCACTCCTGACCATTTGGATCTCATTCAGATGTCACCTCCTTAGAATGCCTTTCTACCACCATCCTGGCTTCCACACTGCCCAAGTTACCCTCCGTCTGTCACATTGTGCCATTTTGTTTTCCGAAGAACAATTGCATTGAAATGACCCTTACTGACTGACTTATTCAATGCCCCACAGTAGCATAGCTCACTGGTCTTATACCCCACTGCCTAGCACACGGTGAGTGCTTTTTAATATTTGTTAACTGACTCCAGTCCATGCTGGAGGAACTGTTCCTCCACCTGGGGAAAGACATTACAGGCTCTGATATCCTCTCCCACACCTCACTGTGCAGACTGAGTTCAGATCAGAAAAAACAGTTGCCCAAGTTACCCAGTCTGTGGTGGCATCCCCACCTCAAAGCCCATTTCGGGCTCCCTCTACTCTCCCTTCCCATCTGGGGTTTCCATGGTCCCTATACTCTTTTTTTGTTTGTTTTGTTTTAAGAGACAAAGCCTCACTTTGTCACCCAGGCTGGAGTGCAGTGGTGCAATCATAGCTCACTGCAGCTTCAACCTTCTGGGCTCAAGTGATCCTCCTACCACAACCTCCTGAATAGCTGGGACTACAGATGCACGCCACCATGTCCAGCTAATTTTAAAAATAAATTTCTAGTAGATATGGGATCTCACTATGTTGCCCAGGCTGGTCTTGAACTCCTGGCCTCTAGCGATTCTCCTACTTCAGCCTCTGAAAGTGCTGAGAGTACAGGTGTGAGCCACCACACCTGGCCCCAACACTCTTCGAGGGTCCTGAACACATGCACACAAGGACTTTCTAAAACCTTAGTCTGCCAGGTACAGTGGCTTACACTTGTAATCCCGGCACTTTGGGAGGCCAAGGTAGGAAAATCACTTGAAGCTGCGAGTTTGAGATCAGCCTGGGCAACACAGCGAGACCCTGTCTCTGTAAAACATTACAAAATTCGTCAGGTGATGTGCACCTGTGGTTCCCAGCTACTCAGGAGGCTGAGGGAGGAGGACTGCTTGAGTCCAAGAATTGGGGGCTGCAATGAGCTATGATTGCACTATTGCACTCCAGCCTGAATGACAAAGCGACACCCTGTCTGAAAGGAAAGGAAAGCAAGCAAGCAAGAAAGAAAGAAAGAAAGAAAGAGAGAGAGAGAGGCCAGGTGCGGTGGCTCACGCCTGTAATCCCAGTACTTTGGGAGGCCGAGGTTGGTGGATCACGAAGTCAGGAGATTAAGACCATCCTGGCTAACACGGTGAAACCCCGTCTCTACTAAAAATACAAAAAATTAGCCGGGCATGGTGGCGGGCGCCTGTAGTCCCAGGTACTTGGGAGGCTGAAGCAGGAGAATGGCATGAACCTGGGAGGCAGAGCTTGCAGTGAGCCAAGATTGCGCCACAGCACTCCAGCCTGGGTGACAGAGCGAGACTCCACGAAAAAAAAAAAAAAAAAAAAAAAAAAAAAAAGAAAAGAAAGAAAGAAAGAGAGAGAGAGAGAAAGATAAAAGAGAGTAAAAGAAGAAAGAAAGAGAGACAGAGAGACTGAGAGAGAAAGGAAGAAAGAAAGAAAGAGAGAGAAAGAAAAGAAAGAAAAGAGAAAAGAAAAGAAAAAAGAACAGGGAGGGCGATGCAGGGAGGGAGGGAAGGAAGGGAGGGAGGAAGAAAGAAAGGAAGAAAGGAAGGAAAATAAAGTTGTCTATTAAAACTAAGTTAAAAGTTATTTTCCCAATCATTAAAAAGAAAAAAAGAAAAAACTAAGTTAAAGGAAAAGGAGTCAATGTAAAGGGAAATTACTGAAAAAAAAACCTGTCAACTTCAATGTAGGCAAGATAACTATCAGCTCAACAGAGCAAAAATGTGAAACTCTAGGAGGATTCTGCCCTCAAATATCTTCCCAAATGTCTATTTTTTTTTCTTTTGAGACAGAGTCTCACTCTGTCGCCCAGGGTGGAGTAAGTGGCACCATCTCAGCTCAATGCATCCTCCGCTTCCCAGGCTCAAGCAATTCTCCCGCCTCAGCCTCCGGGTACCTGGGATTACAGGCACCCACCACTGCACCCAGCTGATTCTTGTATTTTTAGTAGAGATGGGGTTCTCCCATGTTGGCCACGCTGGTGGTGAACTCCTGACCTCAGGTGATCCACCCGCCTCGGCCTCCCAACGTGCTGAGATTACAGCCATGAGCCATGGCGCCCGGCCCCAAATGTCTTTAGGTTCCTCCTCTACTCTATAGAAACAGAACTCATCAGTGATATAATATGTGTGTAGTTTAGGCAGAAAAATGAATCTCATCAGTATCCTCACCCATCAAAACATTGGCAAACAAATGTTATGTTTTTATATAAGTATGTTTTTGCATAAGTACATTTGACTATAAGTTATAATTAATTCAAGATATGTAAGATGTGTATTTTATGATTCTATAATTCTCCCCTTTAACTGATATTGTTGGTGAATGAAACTTAATCACACCAAATGAAAGGATCCTACAGTTTTATAATCACTGTCATCATCACCATTATCAACATTATTATAATCAAAATGATGAGATGGAAATTACTGGGACGTCTGTTTCACAGCAGAGAAAACAGGCTCAAGAAACTTGCCCAAGATCGCGTAGCAGGTAAGAGGGTATTTGAGCCCAAGTCTGTGGGATGCCAAAGCTCACTTAAAAAAAAAAATTTTGAGACAGAGTACCCTTCTGTCACCCAGGCTGAGGTGCAGTGGCAAACAATTCTCCTGTCTCAGCCTCTTGGGTAGCTGGGATTACAGGTGCATGCTACTATGCCCAGCTAATTATTTTGTATTTTTAGTAGTGACAGGGTTTCACCACATTGGCCAGGCTGGTCTCAAACTCCTGACCTCAAGTAATTCACCTGCCTCTGCCTCCCAAATTGTGGGGATTACAGCTGTGAGCCACTGCGCCCGGCCACATCTGGCTAATTTTTTTTTTTTTTTTCTTTAGATGGAGTTTCGTTCTTGTTGCCCAGGCTGTAGTGCAATGGCATGATCTTGGCTCACTGCAACCTCTGCCTCCTGGGTTCAAGCGGTTCTCCTGCCTCAGCCTCCCGAGTGGCTGGGATTACAGGTATGCACCACCACGCCCGGCTAATTTTGAATTTTTAGTAGAGACGGGGTTTCTCCATGTTGGCCAGGCTGGTCTTGAACTCCTGGCCTCCAGTGATCCGCCTGC